TTAGCAACTGAATTATATTTCCATCTCTAGAATCAGTGAATATGGCAAAGGGTTAATCAGAATAATAATTCTGTTACAATAGGAATGAACAAACCATAATCCTAGGAGTTTTCTCTATCTTTGTGCTTTGCATTCATTAAAATCCCATTTTATGAGGATCTAATTGTGTTAAAAATAGTTGGAAGGGATTGGATCAAATAAGTATTTTGCCATAAATTATGACATATTAAGCTAAGAACAATTACCACAGGAGAGCTGTGAGCTCATGATTGCTGTTTTTGCTTGTATAACTATTTCTGTGTACAGAATTACTTTATCTTTGGAAACAAGGTAAAGAGGTTTTAATATGATTATGGGGTAATTTACTGTGCAGTACATAATAATTGTCTCACTAATTTCTTATCCCTGTCTGTTTCAGAATAATTACGCTTCTGATCCAGCTTTTTATACTTTAAGAATTTCATGCGGGAGACTTGCTTCTGAATGATATACAGAAGAAATTCTGTATCCCTTAAATTCCACACTTTCTGCTCTCTTCAAATTTAGTTTCCATTAAAAATAAAGATGTTTCAAACTTACTAGAAGTTGAGCACAGTATTATAGAAAATGAGGAGAATAAGACTAGGTTGACTAAAGTTTCACCAGTGGTGAACAGTTATGTTTTTGTTGGATGTTGTGAAAAGCAAACAAATTGTCAGTCGTATCTGCTTTTCTCCATTTCCTGTTCTCCATTTTAGAATTTGGCATAAAATCTGTGCGAGTCTTTGGTCCCTACAGTGTTAAGGACTCCAGAAAAATACACTACTCACTCAAAAGAGAGTTGGATGGAACTTCACACTCATTTCTTACCCTTGACTTTTTTAAAAAAAGTTTTCTTAAACTTCCTACTCAGCTAATAAGAATACATGTCGTATTTTTCCAGTAGGAATGAACCTGGGAGAATAATGTACATGACAGTGCCAAGCAACTTGTTTGAACATGCAAAAATGGGTATGTTGTAAGAATTTTTCAAAAGGGATTAGTAATTTTGAATAGTTATTGCTGGACGCTAAACACTACGCTAAAAATACTTTTATGTGAGCACCAATGGAGAAATCCAAAAAACATTTTTTGAGCTTGGATCACCATTAGTTTACAGTTTCTAAATGCTTCACATCTTATAAGGTCTACTTTGCAATGAATTAAGCATGCAAAGAAATATCTGTCTGCTTGAACACTTTATGTTGAAAACGTGAGAAATGCACTGTACTTGGAAATTATTGCAGGCACATCTTGGTATTCGTGTTGATGGGATAATCTCAAGAGATTATGAAAACACTTCTGGATTTCAGTTCTACCTTTGCCAGCTGCAAATATGAAATTTGATAGAAATCTGCTAAACGTATACTCTCAAATTGGAGAGTAGCTGTTCTCTAGTTCTTTTTGCTTTTATTTTGACAACATGCTTGCCTTAATTTTTTTACTGCTCTACTTTTCTGTAGATAAGTGTATTGAACAGAGTGAGAATTTGGTCAGATAGAAAAAATGAAACAACGAGGGTATAAATATGGTTGAATATGATTGAAATGGCTGGTTGAAAAATGTATATTAAATGCTGTACTTGCAGCCTATTCCAGTAGCTCTTAGATTTTTTTTTTTTTTCTGACAGCTACTTTCCCTTCTTTCAATGCTTTAAGAATGGAGGTTTTTGAAACTTTTTTCTTAAACCTTCTTTTGTTTGAAAGCTTTGTGATATTAAGAAACAAGGAGAAAGGAAAAAGGTAATTATAAGCTTTATGCTTTGTATGTAGACTTCATACTTGATTGTTTCCAATTTAACTAAAATCTTTGTATCAACACTGTATTTGGGATTGACAGTTGGAATGTGTTTTTCATGTGCCCTGTGAAGAAATAAAATACACAGGGAGAAAATTCCTTTCTTTGTTATTTTATATCTGTTTACAAAGGTGATATAAGAGATCCTAATTAAACAGACTGAACAAGTGCCATGAAAAACAAAAGCAGAGTTGGTAAATTATGGAGAAAACATGACTGAATCTGAGGAGACTCAGATCTTACTCTGCAAAGATAGTTATTTCCCTCACCTTACAGGGAGGTAATGGTCATGTGAAAATAAAAGCATGGATATTAGAAAATGTTTTTAGATGGTGTTCTTCCTTAAATTCTGCAGGTGTTTGAATAAAGACCTGAAGATACTTCTAAAACTTATATCCGATGTCTTGGGAAGTGTTTAAAGTAATTTTCCTCTAATGAAAGAAATGTATATATATTTAAATGTTGAAAAGTGAGAGGAGCCACGTGTATTGTCAAAGTACCTTTAGGAGCATCTTTGTTTCTGTGGCTTCCCATTCTCGGCAGATCTCAAAGGATGCAGTTTTATTAGTCTTTGCTTTACCTGTAGTAGAGGCTGGAGTTTCTAAACTAAAATGGTAATGTGTATCTTCATTATTTCACCGTAATTAAGTTCGTGTTTTCCTGTATGTTTCATAACTTAGGAAGCTAGATGTGGCCAATCCATAAGCAGAATAATTTACACTTAAAAATGTTCTTTCTTTGGTTTCTCTGTAACTATAAATTGGAACTTGTATATTTGCATTTTCTTGGCTATGTGTTTGAGTAGTGTGCAATGCTCCAAGACAGCACTGCTGCACTAGAAGCTTAGAAGCTTAGGCCTATCACTGATGCAGGATTTGTTTTGTAACAGGTGCCATTTAGAACAGCACAGTTTTGTCCAAAAGGTGACAATATAACTTTTTAGATGGAGTTCAGGACTGTCACAGCTCCATGCGCAATATCTCTTGCCATTGTCTTCAGGGTTATTTTTACCAATGGAGCTGTATCCAGGATAGGATACAGCTTAATTACAAACTCCAAGGGCTTTTGAATATATTCATTCCACTTTCCCATCCAGCAGTGATATTATGGGAAGCATACTCTTGAATGTCATCAGTGCGTTAAATTCATCTTAGCATACTGTTATTCCCAGAGATCTCAAATGTGTATGGAGCAGGGAAGGTGATTGATTAGTTTTCTAAGGCCCCCATGAGAGGGCCGAGAGAACTCGTCTGCTGTTGTAGTTGTGTCTTCCCAGAACGACGAAGCTGCGTAGTGCATACGAGCGAGGGCCTCTCCGCCATCCGTAACTCCGTGTTGGATATAAGCTGTGGCTGTGGGAACGGTACTTTATGTAGTATGCAAGGTATGGAGAATGGCACGGCTTTGAGAGGGACAAAGTGAATGTGGGCACCTTTACATCGGGTCGCATGGTTTTGACTCATGGTCTCGTGTCTGTGACACTGTTGCCTTCCTGTACCCAATTTCAAAGCATGTCGTATCAGCTTGCTCCGTTTGGGTTGAATTTCTTAGTGATTTTGAGCAGAGTTCTTTCTTTAATCTATGTAGCTGGGCCTTTCTTTTGTTACTTCACTCTCTTGGATTTGGATTGAGAGGTGTCCTGTGGGTTCTCCATTTTATTTGGAAACACAGCATTTTAAAATCTGAAACAAAAGCTATCAACACATTTTGTTTGAAAGGCTTCTTATTTATGGTTCCCTAAAATTCTCTGTGCCTTTATCTTCCCAGTCACATGGGAACCTGCAGGGAACACACACACATCTCTAATGCCAGTGTTGCAGATTAAAAATAGTTTTCCCTTCACCAAATACTAACAGCTGGTTGGCTTTGTTTCCAGGCTGAAAATGCATTGTATAGTATTTTCACTTCCATGCTGTTGCCAAATGTTAACGGATCAAGCTCTGCAAGCTTTACTTTGTAAATTCTGTTGTAATACTAATTACACGTTAACTGCATTTTTGTAAGGCCTTTCACAACTCCAGTCAAGTACCTATTACCCCATTTTGTAGATAAATAAACAGAAGGAGAAAGGGGTTAAGGGAAGTGCTTTGTGTTGTTTTAAAAGACAATGAAGATAACAAGCACTGCTGCAAGCCAAGTATAATTTAGTTTACAAGAAGATTCAGTGCCATTAATGAGAACAAGTTGCAAGTTGTGCTCAGGCCCTACTACAAACCACTAACCTTTGTTCTGTTAATTTAGCTAAAATAATTCAGTGCGAGTAGCATGAAAAATCTGGTGTTGGCCTTTTGAAATGATACTGAGTAAAACTGAGTAATGAAATTACTGCCATTTTTATTTATTTATGGAAAATGCCTGAACATTTTATTTCAATAAAGAATTTATAGCAATATTTTTCAAATGTCACTTTTTTATATTTTTGTGAGTGGACAATATTGTCTATAAGGAAAAAAAAAGTCATTTACTCATTTCAGAAACGAGTAAAACATCACATAATACCTTTTCTGTTTTTTCACCACCTTGAAGCGCTCAGTAAAGAGCCATCTCACAAGGAGTAAATCTGCTATTTTATTTTGGAAGTTCTTTCGTAGTGTCCAGCAGTTATATTGAAGTGGTATTGATTTCATAAACATGATCCATAATGTTTATAATTGGCATAAATACTGAAGCAACTAGTGCAAAGCAGACAGAGACCCAAGAGTTAACAAAGTAAGAGATGGCAGTTATGCTCATATGGAAATGATTATAAATTGTATTTTTAATGGAATAAAATCAGTGTATTGTTTTTGATTAATGCAACAGGCTTGCTGGTCATATAGGGATTAGCATCATGTGTGGTATGAAAATGAAAGTTACAGTTTATTATCATATATTATGTCCTATGATGGGGATCAACCTGAGGAATGCCTTATAGAATATGCACTAAACAGAGTCCTTGCTTTCTATGTTGATTGCAGTGATAGATTAATCCTATTGCCATATGGACTTGAAATTACCTTCGGTAGGCAAAAGAAAATCTAGATAAATAATAACTCATTAAATAGTCTCTGTGTGGCTTGTGTTTGTGGAAAACAGAATTCATCAGGATTTTCTAAAGGAAAACAAGTATGTGCCAAATGCAATTTCAGTGTTGAAGGTTCAAGGATGGTAAAATTATACCTAACAGAAGTTTGTAATTTTTGCAGGTAATAGCTCTAGCAGATGCAGCAGAGGAAAACCAAGCCAATGTGTTCCAGGCATTTATGAAGTTGAAAAGTGCCACCCATCTGGTGGTTATGCTGATTGGTCTGTGGCAGAAGCTCAGCGCTGATCAAATTGCTGTTCTGGAAGCTACGTTTTTGCCATTAGCACAGGATACAGACGACCTGGTAAGAACCTATAGAAGTGGCTCAGAAAATGTTCTTTTAAAATTATTTAAGCTCTTAAATTTACACGTTTTGCATTTACTAAGTTGAAGTCTGTTCTTTGAAGGCATTTAGTAGGCTTACCAAATAGATGTTTGATTAATCTACTCCTGTTTTTTTGTGAAATTATAGGATAGTTCATCTGAAGACTTGACTTATACCATTCAACTTCCAGTTAACTTCCAATCTTTGCTTATCAAATATTATCAAATTCCAAATAGGAATATTTCACTTACAAAGTTTAGCTGTTTTAGCAGCTGTCTGGTTGTTATCAATAGCAGAGTGGTTCCAATATTTGTTAAAGACATAATATACCTATAATATACGCACTACATACATACCATAATATATAGACACATATTCACGGTAATACAATGTATTGAATCTGTTAGTTAAGCTTTTGCCACAGAGCATCTTCACTATTTGCACATTGGTTTATATAGTGGATGAAAGATAAACAAAATACTGTGAATAGGTAACATGCTGGTATTCTCCAACCATGTGCCATATAGGCTTACATTGTGTAGATATCTTGCAAATTCTGCTCTGATTTAATGAGTGGGGGAGACTATATGCAGAATTCCCTTTGTAAAGAAAGACAGTGTTGTATTCTATCCTGAAACGAGAGCCCTGGTTATATTCTGTCCTGAAACGAGGGCCCTGCTTTTGTAAAATTAAGGAATGTTATGAATTTATAAAAACTACAGTGAATGTCCATTTAGTTTAGTGCAGCTTTTTTTTTTTCTGGATTGTGGACTAAAATACTTACAGCAGTGTGCCATGAAAAGAAGTGAAGTAAACTCTGGTGACATTTTTACCTTTCAACAAGACTTCTTTGAGCTATCTGAATTTTCAAGTATACCGCACAGCTCTTCTTACAAATGGATTGCATATAATTAAAAGAAACCTATCTAAATACCTATCATGCTCTTCACTGTGTTTTTGCAATGAATAGCAAATCCAGATTTCAATGCATACCCAGAACACCTGAAATGCTTCATGAAAGCCTCTTAGAAAGCCTCTGCTGGGTTCCAAGTCAACTGGGATCATCTACAGTTTCAGCTAGGGGGGGAAAAAAAAAAGTGTCAGTGTTTTTCATGATTTGACCCATAGCAGTCAAAGCAAAACAGTTTGGATGAGATTTGCTTTAGATTTTTGGCTCATTTAAGCTTGAAAATCAAACCGCACAACTGAGGAGTATGCATTCACATGAATGGAATTGAAAAAAGACTCACAGGAATCTCCTCAAAGCCGCAAAAAACATTTTTGGATGATTCACTTTTGTTTTGCCATCAGCATTTGCATTGCTGTGACACATGTTCCGACATAACGTGGTTAAGTCTGTTGCATGCCCTGTGATACAAGAGATCACTTTAATATATATCTCAGTGTGGCTTTGATGTAGTAGTTCACAGTATTCTGTGTTAAGCCTTAAGACATCACATGCAGATATGGTAAAGACGTGCATCCTGCAGAGCAGCTAGGATGAAGAATGTAAACCTGCAATAACTGGAGATGGAAATGGAAATGAAACCTTTACAAAATATTGGAATACATGCCATGTTGAAGTTATTATGGTACCGCAGAAATCTGCATGTAATTTAAGGAGAGGTTTAGTGAGGCAGGGGAAGGGAAGGGAGGGATCTCCTGACATACCAATGGTGTTTACAGACAGAAGCTCCCAGCTCGTGTTCAGGTTTCCTCGCAAGCAGTTGAGTGGAACCGCGGTGAAAGCGAGTGCTCCGAAGCACTTTTATTTATTCTTCAAACAACTCTGCTCAATGGCTTGTTGTGTTTTTATTTGGACGGAATGTGTTAGAAGACAATTTGGATGCCGTGCACCTCTCCAGAATATTTTCTGCCTTGTGAACGTTAACCTCTGACGGCGTTTTTTTAATAAAAGGGAAATGTTTAGAATATACTATTACCGTAAAAAGAAATGCTTCTCTAACCATAACATCAACATTATTCTCATACATGCCATTCCATTTAGAACAGATTGTATCTTGTTTTCTGGACCTGGCAATCACTCCAGTCAGATTTTTAGCAAAAAGAAAAGTCATGTTTTGTGCTCCAGTTGCCACCAAATTTCTGATTGCTGTTGCTTAAGCTTTTCTTTAAGAGCATACAAAATTTGATTTTCTTGCCTACAAACATAGCAAAAGTAATACTACAAACTTTTTAAAAAGGCACTTAAATGAAGTTTGCATTTTTCTCTTGCCTTTTGGTGACAAGGGAACTTTGGGTTTCTGAAAAGAAGTTCATTTTCCCCTTCCAGTGCGTAACAATCACTGCATTTTCTAACTATTTATATGTATCCTAGGAATAATAAATTTTTGAAATCAGATACTTAATTTCTAACAGTAAGCTTCTAATTGACACCTAAATATTTCTTTGACTAAACTAAGAAAGTGGCTACTGTTTAATACTGGAAATGGCAGAGTGTTCCCTTTCTTTTCAGTGTTTTTTTCATACAGTGATTCTACACAATCTGAGAAACACAATGCCAGCAAACAAATGAGCTCTATAGCTATAGAAGAAGTATATCTTATATTTCAGAACATAGCATTACAGTGAAAGTCCAGTTTCTTGCAAACCCTACTCTAAAATTATACCATATTTGAGTCCTTTTTTTTCTTTTTTCCTCCCCGAATGTGTGAGAAACCTATTTTGAGAGACTGAAATCTTTGATAGCTGTAATAATATTAATAACCTATCAGAGATTTTAATATGCAATTCCTTTCTTTTTTTCTTTTTCTTTCAGGAAATTGGCAACTATTTTGCTCCCCTAGCATTTTTTAATTTAATTTAATTTATAACAAGAGATGCCAACAATTTGAAGTACTATAATATCTGGAAAATGAAAATAGGTACATTTGAAGTGTTATTTTTTAGCGATTATGCTTTACTAAACTGAGCTTAGGAAAAGCAAACTTCAAAAAATGCTGAGTTTGTGATTGAGCATATGTTTATAATAGGAAATCCTTTGGGGAAGGGAAGGAATTTATTCAGGCTAATTTGAAGTGTTCAAAGGGGCTACACAGGATAGTTTTGATATAATGGTTGCATGGTGTCTAGATTGAGTGATGATTCTGATGTCTGATCATTAACGCTATTAATACTTTCTTTGTTTAAAATATTACAAAGGGGGAAAAAATGTCTGTCAGTATTAACACCTTAATTTTAGGATTGGTGAAGGGCCCCCAGCAGTAGAGTCATCTATAGCAGTGTCATGGCAGAATAAATATTTTCACAGCTCTCATGATGTTATCAAATAATGTCATACAAGCTTTTCATTGCTCAGAAGCCTCCCTTTCTTGCTGTAGTCACATTTGTGGTGTTACTGTTTTTATTCACTACAAACTGGCACTGAGGAATATTTAATCTGCTTTCATTTATGCTTGGTATCATAGCAACCAAGTAGGTTTCTGTATTCTGTCTTAAATTCATATTACAGTTTTAAATTGGAAGGAAAATATGCCTGAGGATAATATACGTGTTCTTAAATGATTATATGATTTAGTGTAATGAGCTTAAGTTAATGACTATAATTTTACTTGTTTAATGTGTTAATACATACAGTAAGAGTACTTTAAGATAATGCTGAAAAAGGAGATGAGGTCTTAAGTGCCTAATAAGAATTGCATTAGTTAGTATTAAATGTGCCTGTGGTTTCTGTGAGAAGATGTGAATGTAAAATCATGTGAAAAATTGCAGATTGTTAGTCTGGAAAAGGTAGATAGCCTGCAAGGTCTTATGCATGATATAAGATGGGTTTTATTGAGATGCTTTCGCATAGAAGAGAAGCCATCACTTTGTGGAAGGAATTCTTTACCGATCATAAATTCTCAAGATCAAGAATAAATTTAATTCCTTAATTCCAGGAAGTTTAATTCTGTTAAGACTAACAGTATCCGACGTTTATTTAATTTTTCTGTTCATATATACCATCTTTGAAGCTTTGAGTTAATAATGACACCTTTGAGGAGAGTAGTTCGCATGAGCCATAATGCTGAGAATTTATGAAAAATGGTCACTTTATGTAATTCTGTATAATTAGTTAGATACTATAGTCTAGTATGTGTCCTAATCACAGTAAAATAAATCTGGAATTAATCTTTAAAATATCTTATGTTTTATTCTGTTTTTGTCCTATTTAGCCACTTTCTAAATGTGCAAGTCTAAGCATGTGACATACTGAGAAATATTATTTTTCTACCTATTTGTTATTTGGTAAATACTTTCTCTTTTTTTTCACTTAAAAAACAAAAACAAAAGAACAATACAGTTATAATAATATTTGGAACTAGGTAGCTTATGTCCTTACAATTCCTTGCAGTTCTACCACCTTCTATACTTTCCTGAACAAACAAGCTTATGGCAGATATATTTCACTTTCTTTCCCGAAAAGAAGAACTGGAACAGCTGAAAGTGGTTTTAAAGGCAGACACATGTGAAATGTGATGTCTTTTTTTTTTCAGATAGTCAATAATATTTAAAATAAAATATTTTCCCTAGTTTGCCTTTTTTTTCTCTCCTAATTGAAGCAAAGGCATACAAACAGAGTCAATCAGAAAGATTGTTCCAGTATAGTCAGGCACCTAAGTCCACTAAAACATTAGTGACTTTTGAACTATTAATCCTCTAAACAAAGAGAAGTAACTTCAAGCTTTTCCAGGTAAAAATCATCACAATTTTCAGTGAACAGTAATCAGATTAGCCTCAGTCTGAAGCTTAGTTTTAGTTCAGGGCATTTTAAGATTCCCAAATGAGGGAAAAATGGAGCAGAAGGAATGAGATTTCTCACTCCTTCGTGCGCAGAGAAGATCTTGGCACTTAGGGAAGGAGGTTACAAGTGAAATAGTGGTGCCTGGAACCTGTCAAATGCCCTTCGCTGGCGCATATCTACGTGGCCCTGCTCTGGCGTGAGTAATGTAAGGGCATGGCTCAAGTGCCGGCCTTTT